GACAGGACACCGGTGTCCGGCATAAACTATTTACACCAAGATTTAGCCTGACCCAAACCGCCTATATTAGACGGGCTGACTACAGAGCGTCTAATTTCCAGATAAGCGGTACGCCTTCGCTTCTTCCCTCCAGAGGGAGGGGGCAGTCCAATAACCGGTTCCAAATATCCCCTTGTGGGCCTACCGCTCTAACGGTATAATCTTACCTTTCAGTTCCTGGACCGGGGTTCACACTCATCGACGGGGCACCACGGTACTCACTGCGCAGAAGCCGATGATCTCCTGGACAAAAGGCCAGTGGTGCCAAGACGAAAGGAGGTCCACGCAGAAGTCCAGGGGTGCTGCCGTGGAGAACGTTGGTGTTACGACACGTACCGTCGGGTAGATGAAGCCGCCGTTTAGGCAATAATCCCCTTCTCCAGAAATGCAGGTTTAAATCCAGCCGATCGCCAAACTCCCGAACGAAGTCCGCGAACACGGCAACTCCCGATCAGCCAAACAGTCGAACGCCTTCCACAGCTAGAAATAACGAAAGCGCTGTCCCAATAATAATTCCCCCCACAAACGAGACCAAGCTCCGTCTTGAGGGTCAAATGAAGATCTGTTTAATGGGGGCTACCTGCCCGGTATTTATGCAGGTCTCCACAAGGTGGACACTCCCCGAGGGGACCTTGTGGAAGACTGTAACACATATTGTACAGTAGCCAATCGCAGTGGCTTCAATAATAGCCCTTCCCATCTTGCCCATAATTCCGTCTTCTTTACCTTGGAGATAATTGGTGAAGAAACCTAATTATCTCCCAAGGTAGTGACCATCGCCATCTTAAATTACAGTAACAAAAGGACATTAAAATACATAACTACAGAAATACCGAATGCATATGGTTCGTGTAACGTATCCCCAGACAGCCTGGATCTGAGGGCATGTTTTCACCGAATAGCGCTCAGATCCGATGTATCTAGTCGAATCGCCATGGAGTCAAAGTCTTTCACCAGTCCTTCGGGATACGAATGACTCCATGGGATGGCTGTCGGGGTAAAAGTCCATACGACTGAACAAAACTCCCGAACGACCGACGTTCGCATGCCTTGTCGAAAAGGAAGGTAGGCAGCAGCTTTTCAGCGGTGTTCGGTAGTTTAAGTGTCCGTTTTTAGGTCCATACAGTTTGTACCGAACACCGCTCTGTGTTCGTATGTCCCAAAATGGCCGCTGCCTCGTGGTCGACATGCGAACGACGACCACCCGTACGAATGGAATGGAGAGGTGTCTGCGGTTAACCACAACGTTCTAATTGGGGCCAAGAGGTTAACCAGCAGCACACTCCTCTCCTGGGTGGCCGTTCGTTCGGTAGTTTCAATCGGCATTTTGCAATTACACGAACGGGGGTATATGAACAGGCAATTCCGCGAACAGAGGGAAACAGACGAACCAACAATGCAGATGAATCTGTCACAGTTGGTAAAAAAAAAAAAAAAAAGTTTACAGTCTCAAATCTCTGCGCCAGCTTCCGTGCGAGGAGGTTCCCGGACCCAATACACCAAAAATTTTACCGGAGGAATAACAGGAACAAACCACAGAAGCCACACATAGAGATATAGACACAAGTCTTCAGGAAGTAACAGGTCTTTTATTCACGTACCGATCGGGTCTCAGATGAACTCCTGTTCCAAAAATATCTGAGAGGCAGAAAGCATGGTGCAGAGGCCTTTTGTTAGCAGCATATCCCCTCCCATACAGTATAACCCCTCCTATATTCCTCAGACCAATCAGCACACAGGATATTCAGGATCATCTTATATGGGCAGACAACATGGCATTTACAGACTTCCACACATGCTCAGTACACTGATGACTCATCCAACTGTTTGCAATCAGATACTAATTAGCATATGCTATGTGGAGATTTCGGCCTACTAAATTTTGACCATGCTGGAATCCCATCACAATCTGTAGGTCCGGCTGGATAGACTACCAGACATACTGTGGAGTTACTGGGTGGCCACCATTTCATGTATCAGAGGCACATGGTGAGAACAATGGATGAAGCACATGGTGAGAACAATGGATGGTGGCCATTTTAACTCACAGACACTGTTTGGACTTTTCTACACGGTGCCATCTCGCCGGTATTTGGTGCACAGACATTGTTCAGTAGTTTTAAACTACAGAACAGGGGACACATTTAACAGTAATTATTTTTCATATAGCCTGTATATGTTCTGCGGAATCTGCATTAAACCGTATTTTCCAAAACTACTAAACGGATCTGAGTGAATTTTGGATATGTGGTTCACCCAGATCCCCTGGTTCCGAGAATATACATTTTTTTTAATGGGGTTATTGCATGTTTTGGGGTCTCTGTGATATGTTTTATAAAACTGTTTATTTTCTGCCTGTGATAATTAAGTTAGTCTATTGTCTTGAGATAATTGTATCACAGGCAGAGTGGAGGATTTCTGCTGGGAGTGGTTTACTTTATTGTACGTGTTGTAATGTTTCTGTACATGTTGAATTGGTTCTTCTGAAAAACCCTGTGGGCAGTACTATGTTTGTAGAATGTGAATAAAAGAGGCTGTATGTGCCAGTACAGTCAGTTCTTCTTGACCCTCAACACATAGTCTCATGATTGGAGGGTACAGCTATATACACACTGGGGATTGCTATGCTCTGCATACTCCCTTAAGCTTTAATCACTTCGCTCTTTTTAAGAGCTGGTTCCTGATACGCTCTCCTGGAGGAGAGGTCTTCCCCACACAGTCCTGGAGGACAGAAGCTGATCCAGGGTGGACAGAAGACAGCGAGACTCCAGTTAAGCTGCGGGGGTTGTGG